CAGCCAGTAATGAGTTCACACGGCTCTGGGCCCTTTTGGACACATGACTGCTAGGTCAGGAACAAGGAATCCAGCCCTGCTGGGGATTACCTGGGTCATATTCCAGTAATAAAGAGCTCAATTGGAAAAACTCACCTGGAGGGTCAGAGATCAGCCATGGGATACGGCTGAGTGGGTGATGGGTGGATGGGGTGCAGGCAGCGGAGGGCAGAGCCAGGGAACCCTGAGTGAGTCCTCTTTCTGCCTGTGGGCAGTCCTGGTCCTCCTGGGCTCAGCCTTCCTAGTTGGGAAATGGGTTATCAGATGACAGTCTTACAGGAGGACAGAGGAGGACTCCCCAGGGGAGGGAGCCCTGAAAAGAGAGGGCGAAAGGAAGAAGCTGGCTACTAGTACTCTAGCTGCTGTGTGCAAAACACTGCATATAAAGTACTCCTACTGTGTGCATGGTGTTCTACATAACACACACCTACTGTCTGCCAGGTCCTCTACTAGAACATATCTACCTCCTGCCATGTGTGCTATATTACACAGAGCACCTACTGTGTGTCAGGGCTCTAGAGAAAGTGTGCCTACTGTGTGCCATGAGCTGGGAGCTCTGCATAAAGGGTTCTTACTATATGTGAGAGCTCTACATAAGTTCTGACTCTGTGTGCTGGGACTTCTACATACAGAGCCTACAGTGGGGCCAACAGATAGTGTGGTGGTTAAGGTGGCTAGATTCCCCTATGGCCAACTGCACAGTGCAAGTCCTAGACCCAGCAGCCTGAAAAACATACCAAGTGTGTGGGTGTGCATGCCCAAAATCCTAAGAGAAGAACAGAAGAGAAAAGATTGCAGTGTGGCTATCCCCCATGGGAGGTGCTTTCTCACATTTCCTATCTCTCTCTCTGTGGCTAATACACACACCCTAAAGCAAATGACAACAACAACAAAAAGAAAAAAAAAAAAAAGCACTTCCTATGTGCTTGGTACTTTACATAGAGGGCCTACTGTGTGTCAGTACTCTGCATAAGGAGTGCTCACAGTTCGGAGCTCTATAGACAGAGAATCTACTGTGTCCTAGTCTAAATGTGACTCTGTGCTGGGAGATCAACAAAAAAGAGTGCCTGCTGTGTGCTCTACATATAAAAAGCACCTACTGTGTGCTAGGTCCTCTACATAAAGGGAATATACTGGTCTCAGTAAATCTACATAAAAGTGCCTACTGTGCACTGGGAGTGGTATAGTAAGAGCAACTACTATGTGTTGGGGGCTTTATATACAGAGTGCATACTGTGCGTGAGGTGCATTACATAAGTCATGTATATTATATGCTAGGAGCTCTACATAAAGGGTACCTACCATATGCCTGCTATAACCAGATATCCACAGGCAGAAGAAACATCACCTGTCTCTCATCAGTTACAAAAATCAACTCAAAACCCACTAGAGACTTAACGGTAAGACATAAAACTACTAGAAGAAAACATCAAAGAAGTACTGACATTAGTCTAGGAGAGGATTTTTCAGATGAGACTTCAAAACCACAGGGAACAAAAGCAAAAGTAGACAAATGGAGGGGCCAGCAGGTGGCGTGGTGGTTAAGGTGCTAGACACTCCCATATGGCCGACCACGGTTTGAGTTCTGGACCTGGTGGCTTTCTCACTTTCCCACTCTCTGTCTTTCTTTCTCTGTGTGTCTCTCTCTGGTCAAATTAAAATAAATGAATGAATAAAGAAAATTAAATAAATAATTCTTAAAAATAAAAATAAGACAAATGGAATTACATCAAACAGAAAAACTTCTGCACAGAAAAGGAAACATTTGAGTGAAGAGACAACCTATGGAATGGAGAAAATATTTATAAACTATACATCTGACAAGGGACTTCTATCCAGAGTATATAAAGAGTACAAAGTTGGGCCAGCTGGTCGTTAAAGCAGCTGGATCCCACATGGCCAATTAGACAGTTTGAGTCCAGACCTGAAGGCTTAAAAACACACCAGGTAGAGGTCAGCAGGTGGCATAGTGGTTAAGGCACTGGATTCCCACATGACCCACTGTTGAAAGAGTCCCAAATCTGAGCAAACACAATGGTGACCTTTAGCACAGGCAGAAAGGAGGTTCTATGGGCTTCATTTGCAAGGCAAAAAGGCCATAATTAACATATGATTATGCTAGTTGCCTCTGTGTTTGAAACTGCAAAGCAGTATCAGTTAAAGAGAGTCATATGTATTCTCTACTAGTATGCCTTTGTGTGTTTAACTGTTTCTTTTCTTTTTTAAAAAATTACTTATTTAATCCAATTTATCATTATTGTTATTTTTAAATTTGATCATACAGTGACAGAGAAAGAGAGAGAAAGAGAAAGTGACAAAGCAAGCTGCCAGGTCTGGGACTCGAACCACAGTCAACCAGGTGGGAATCCAATGCCTTTACCCACCACGCCACCTGCTGGCCCTCTATGTTTATTTTCTAATACATGGCCACCACCCCACACACACACACTCAGACCATGCATTCAGCTGTGTGGGTCATGGTAGCTTACTGTGCTTTTAGGCCCGAACACAGCAGCCTGAAAATCATGCCAAGCATGTGTGCATGTGTGCCCAATATCCAGAGAGGAGAAGGGACTGAGGCAATGAAATAGATTGTGTTCTTCGGAGAATTTTGGTTTTTTATTTCCATAAGTGCCTAACTGAATGCTGTTCTTCTGTAAACTGCTTACAATGCCCTAGGAAAGTACTGTACTGCAATCACCCTAATCAGCTCCCTGTAAGTTTCTGTGCCCAGGAGATGCAAACCACAGATAGTAAGACTGACCCAAGGCCTTCCAACCAGGTGCTCCCGGGCACGAGCGACTACGCCTAGCAGCTGATAGCAAGATTGGCCCAAGTCAATTCAACCAGACTCCTGCGTGTAAGCAAGTGTGCCCAGCAGCTGCAGATCATGAGATCAGCCCAAGCAGTTCAAAGCAGACTTTCCCGCACACAAAGCTCTTCTCCCCCTACCCTGCTGCACAAGCCCTTAGAAGTCTGCTTCTTTTGGTTCCAGAGCTTGGAGTGCGGACTCCTCTGGGTACGCCAGCATAATAAACCTGAGTTCTCTTACTCTCTGAGCGGCACTTAGTTTCTCAGCAGTCTGTTTCTATAATATTTCTAGCTCCCAGCCAACTGTTCTGGTCCCTTAAGCCACGAGGTCAGCAGAAGGGACCTAAAGGATGACAATGTCCCAGAGTAGAACAAGATGGCACCACCCAGTCTTTTCTCAAGTCCTCCTTCCGAAAATCAAAAATTCTGATCCTGATGGATAGATGTCATTCTATTACTACATCCAAGTTTACAAACTTAATAGCTCTTCTGAAAACTATCAGATTTTCTGAGGTAAAGGAGGAAAAGGTAAGCTTAGGCACTTAGTAAAAACTGGGCCTTTGTATCGGGGAGGAAAGCTAAAGAACTCCTGTCCAGGGAACCAGCAGTTAGCGTAATGGCTATGTCGCTGGACTCCCACGTAGTCAACCGCGGTTCGTGTCCCGGACCCGGTGGCTTAAAACTCACGCCGGGCGCGTGTGCGTGCGTGCCCAAGATCCCGAGAGGAGAATGGAGGAGAAGGGATTGCGGCGTGACCATCCCCCCTGGGGGGTGATTTCTCGCTTTCTGTCTCTATGTCTCTCTCTGTCTGTCTGGCGAGCGCTTAGTAAAAACTGGGCCTTTGTATCGGGGAGGAAAGCTAAAGAACTCCTGTCCAGGAACTTAGGAACTAGGAGTCTCAAGGAATTGGGGTGGGACAATGGCCTTGGCTACATCCTCAGGTCCCTCACTGGGGCCTTGTCCCTAGGATGGAGTTGGTCACTAGAGACAGAATGCACTGAGCTCTGAAGGGAGCTCAGGACTTCCAAATCCATGGTGGCCTATTAAAATTGAGGATCCATGGGGCCCAAGACCCTAGTGGCTCCCCTTGGACATCTGGCACTCTCACTGGACAAGCCTCAGGTAACCCTTAAAGTCACTAAAATAATTAAGGTTTCTTTAAATAATTTCTGTCTAAATTGAAGGTTAAGGGTTGTTTTTTTTGGGGGGGGGGGAGATTTTTGCTATAGGGTGCATGCGCTCGCCAGACAGACAGAGAGAGACAGAAAGTGAGAAATCACCCCCCAGGGGGGATGGCCACACCGAGATCCCTTCTCCTCCATTCTCCTCTTGGGATCTTGGGCACACACACACATGCGCCCAGTGTGAGTTTAAGTCACCAGGTCCGGGACTCGAACTGTGGTCGACTACATGGGAGTCCAGTGACATAGCCATTATGCTAACTGCTGGTCCCAAGGTTATTTTTTTTCAAAGTACACGCATAAGGGGCCCGACAGGTGGCACCGCGATTAAGTGCTCTGGACTCCCACGTGGCTGACCGCTTTCTCAATTGCTCTCTTTCTCTCGTTCTGTCCCTCTCTCGTCAAATTAAAATAAATAAATAAACAAATAACATAATTACTTTTTGAAAATATTCATTGATTTTATTTAATTCCACGAGGACTGCTGCTTGGCCTGCAATGGGAATGAAGGAGGATTCTGGAGATGAAGGGGGAGGGGGGAGTCTTCCCTCTGACCCTGCCCTGAACGCTGCAAAGGCCCAGCCAGCATCTAGGGGCCAGGCTAGCAGGGAAGCATCAGGGGGCCCAGAAGAGGAGAGGAAGGGGAATTCCTGACGGTAGGGAAA